CCTATTCCTAAAAAAAACTAACTACACCCGGTTCAAATAAAACCCTTGGAAAAGAACCGTGGTTTAAAGAAAAACCAAGGAGGAATTGCTACACTACCTAACAAAAAAAATCTTGTTTTTTAGACTTAAATCCCTCAAGAAAGTTGTCTAATAGATCCAGCGTCGGAAAAAGTCCAATCTTTTTTTAAAAAAAAAAATACTATTTAATTAAACTAATAAAGTACCATGAAAAGTCACCCAAACAATCTCATCACCCCCACTTAAAATTGTGCATTGTCCCCAATGCACAACATAACCATAAGAGGGTAAGAGAAACTCCCTGGTAGGCCAAAGGCCGAAGCACTAGCAGTTCATGGGGTACTCAGACTTCTCCCGGGCTTGGTCCTTCGTGCGGGTACCTCACACTTAGTTCCAATCATTTGATTTGCTGTTGCATCCTTCCAATAGCTTTGCTTTCCACGCTCCTAGAAAATAAAAAATCGACACTACAAGAATAACACAATAAAAATAAATAAAAGAAAGCAATAAAGCTGGGTTGCCTCCCAACAAGCGCTTGATTTAACGTCGCGGCACGACGCGAATTATTTTTTTGCCTCCACCTCGAGCTTATGAATTGAACCCAAGTTTTGATTCAAGCTTATGATTATGGTCATGGGGCAGTGAAACGAATCTAACTGGCCCAAGGAAATAATGTAGTATTCTGCAGGCCTTTGTATGAGGTATGTAATCCTGACTTTCTGGCAAGAAGAATTCCAGAATATATGCACCTTGTTCCTCATTCCTTGACTCTTCGATTGGTTCAGATGACTCTATTTCCATATCATCATCCAAACATAATGTGGAAAAATGCTTGGAGTGTGGACCAATGCGCTCATACACATGAACTTCAGGACTTTCAACATCCTCAACATCAATGATACCAAAATTTATATCCTCAAAGTCCTTGGTTGGCTCTAGTCTCACTTCTTCAACATTGACATCCTCAAATTGTAGTTGGCTAGGTTGTTGATCTTCTACTCTGACCTCCCCAATTAACACCTCAAATTTATGCTCTTCTTGGCTGCTATCCTCAATATTGGCTTGTTGAGCATTAAAAGCTCCAACCACTTGACTCAATTGAGCCTCCAACTTGCGAATAGTTGCCTCTTGCCTTTCTATGTGCAATTGTTTCTCATTGTTTTGTTCCAGAAGACACTTTAGCATATCCTTGATCTCCTTCAGGTCCGCATTCCCAGGTTCTTTGTTCCTATTAACTTCACAAGAAAAGGTAGAACCATCATAGTAAGGGGTTGGGGGAAAATAAGAAATATAAGCACAACCATGAAGGTGACCATTTTTACCACCACACACATCACACACATTCCACAAATAAGATTGAGTTGGTGCACATAACTCGCTCTCAGGAACGTTATGAAAATTTTTCCACGGGTGGTTTCCTTTACAATATGTATGGAGATCAATAGTAGAATTATCTACACCTAAATTCTCCTAGTTCCAAAGATGTCATATTTCTCAAATCAACAGTTATAAAAAAATACCAAGAAAAAATAAAAAAAATAAAAGTTCAAACTTGAACCCTAGCAATATATACAGCTACAACTACACCGTTAGTTCCCCGTCAACGGCGCCAAAATTTGATCATGCCCAACTCTAGTCCTAAAAAGGATAAGCGATCGCTGCAAATATAATCCGGTCTAAAAGTCCGGAGTCGAATCCCACAGAGAACTAAGGTTTCGCTGTAATTGTTCAATATCGCAAAGAAGACAAGTTTGAACAATTTCTAAATTATAATATTAAGATTTTTATATCTAACTAATTAACCGAAGAATACTATAAAACGGTAAAATTATCAACTAACGAGACAAAGGCTTGGAGACGAAATTAAGGAGGTCTAGAGCTATAATTTCCCCAATTGTTGATTTCATTAATTGTATGTTTCTTATAGCTTTGACTTAGTTGCCTCTATCCATCATGAACTCTCCAGCTATCATAAATCTCCCTCAAGCAATTATGATAATTTACTAGATGCACTCTCTCAAGCTACGCTAGCTAGATTCACATTACAGTTCACTTAGATCGCACCCGAGGTATCGTTATCTCTAATCCAACCTCTAAACCCTCGGTTATGACTCTCGCCTATACTCCGGGAGTGATGTTGTTCAAACAACTACCTAAATATGCACTCTCTCTCAAGCAGATACATAATAAATAGGAACGGCTAATTGAGGATCCTTTCAATTAACCAAAATCAAAACGTAGTTGAACAAATAGAGATTAACAACTAACTCAAAACAATATTAATATAACAACCAATTCATCCCCAAAAGGTTCCATCAAAACCCTAGAAAACGAATTAGCTATTCATAATAGTATGTAAAACTACAATACTAAAAATCATAACCAACAATGAAAAATAGGACGAGGAAGGAAAAACTTGTTGAAGAATTCCCCGCCTTGCTCCTATTGTGTCTCTGCCTCCTTGCCTCTTGTTTTTTTTCCTTGTTCTAAACCCTAAAAACTTCCTCTTTGCTCCTTTGGACGAACTAAACCTTTTATAGGTTGAGGGGATTGGTCTTGAACTTCCAAAAGTACCCTTCAGATATGTTTTTCCGTCTGGACTAGCGCGGCCGCGCTAAGTCAGCGCTTAGGCCGCGCTAGTTGGGTTATATTCTGTCTCCGTCCGCGTCAGGTCCGCAATCGCAATTTCAATCGCGTTTTTGACCCTGTTCCGTCTGGAATTTGGAAAAACGTAAAACATGAAAGTTGTATCCCTTTGAGTTAGATGTCCAACCATATATTGTGGAGCCCAAATAGAGTTCTGAGAAAAAAGTTATATCCATTTTACTAGACAGTGTGCGATATGCCTACTCGATTCTTCGTTCGCTCTAACTATCATCCGTTGACCCCCAAACATGATCCCCGCTTAATTCCTTGAGCTTTTACTCAGACTTCAAAGCTCCAAATCACTTGAATTCATTCCATAACATCTACATAGCTCGGAATCACTCCTACAAGGTATAAAATACACAAGCGCAAGACACTAGCGATTAAAGCTCAAACTCAATTAAAGTGCCGCAAATTAGAGTGTAATAAGCGACTAAAATATGTAATTATAGGCTATCATCAACTACCTTTTGTTTTTTATAGCCAAATATCTATTTTTGGTCACCTCCTACCCTTAAACCATAAACTACACTTTGTATTATTTTTCTCTCTCATTCTTTCAGGTTTTTCTCCCCCCCCTCTCAACCAACGCCACAAATCACCGTACCGACAAATGCAACTGCGGTGCCGGAGTCATCATTTGTACCAGATTTTGATGCTGATCCACCTATTAGGCCTGGTGTTGATGACCCAAACGAGAGTCTAGAAGCTTGTACGCCGTCGGCTGGGCAGCAGATTTTGATGATTTTAATATTTAATATTTTTAGTTTCACTGTCTTTGAACTTCTCTTTCCTTTTTAGTGGTTGAAAAGTCTGTTTAGAAATCAATGATGTTTCGTATCAATGTCCAAATCTGACATAGGGTAAATCGGGGCTGACAATGGAGGTTCAAAATCTACTATCGACGAGACGACATTAGGGCTATTCTTGAACAAAGACGACGAAGTTTTGGGGCTGAGCAACTTGAAGAGCCTGTTACCTTTTTTTTCATTGTATTTCAATGTATCTCGTTGTACTCTATGTATTTCATTGTATTCATTGTCTTTTTTTCCCATTGTATTTCAATGTATCTCGCTGTATTCCATGTATTTTATTGTATTTACTGTCTCGCCATATTCCATGAATGTATTTGTAGACATCGAAATTTTAAGGGATCAAGCCAAATACTAAATTAAAGATACTACAGGACTCTTGAAATCTTAGGAGTCTATTAGGGTTTCTTGGAGGTTACTCTACCCTAAACCCTAACTCACACCTATATAAAGGGATACATATTCCCTTGAAGAGGTGTCTCAAAATCCCATAAACTCTTGAGATATTCACAAAGAGATCAAAATATGGCCGGATACTTCTTGACATTAATAAAATAGTTCACGAAGTTGGAGATCAGATACATCTCCAGGAGGTCTGCATCGTCCTACATTCGAGAAATACGCGGTTTCAGCCCTCAAATTACGGAGATAATCAGGAGAGAAGAATCAAGGGATAAACAAAATTGTACTCACAATTGATTAGTAAAAATATTTTTCTCTTATTTTGTGATTGTGGTTTATTTTTCATATGACGAAAATTTGTTACAAACAAATTGGTACGCCTAGTGGGACCAGTTCTGCCCTTCATCTCTTCCTTCTGTAAATCTAAAACTCCAAGTTTCAAAACCATTTGTTGCGATGGTCGAGTACTTCAAGTCTCGTCTTAATGTTTCGGCAAGCCTACACCTCGACAAACCTTGAAGTATGGGGCATTTGTAGATATCGAAATTTTAAGGGATTAAGCCAAATCCTAAATTCAAGATACTACAAGACCTCTTGAAATTATAGGAGTCTGTCGGTGTTGCTTAGAGGCTACTCTACCAAAACACCTAGGTCACTCTTATAAAAAGGGTTACATAATCCTTTAAAAAATATCTCAAAAATGGAGATCATCTCAGAAATCCCATAAACTCACGGGATATTCACAAAGAGATCAAAATATGGCCGGATAAATCTTGATAAAAATATGGCCGGATAAATCTTGATAATCAAATACTTCAAGAAGATCCACAACATACTTCATGGATATCAAATAAATCCAAGGAAGTCTTCATCATCCTACGTTCGAGAAACACGCTGCTCCAGCTCTCGAATCACGGAGATAATTAGGAGAGAAGAATTAAGGGAGAAACAAAATTGTACCCGCATCATTTTATCAATAAAACTATATTTCTTCATATTTATATTGCGATTGTAATTTATTTTTTGTATCATATATAATTTGTTGCAAACATCAATTAAACCTCTTTGGCTCTTGAACAATGTGTTTTCCACCTTGAGTGACACTGTCAAATAAGAGTGTTATTTGCTATACTTCAACATAATCAACATAAAATCTTTGATAAACATAGCGCGGCAAGAGACCCGTAATACTACAAAACCAAACCGCCTTTGCACTTCGTACCGCCCAAACGCCCCCGTCGGAACCACCGCCACCACCACGACGATCGACGATCGACGACGGCGACATTTGTATAAATGGGAAAACCAAAACAACAAGTAATTTCCCGCTTCTTTGCACCAAAACCAAAGAACGAAAAAGACCCTTTAACTTCAACTTCAACCTCAACTCCTCCCTGTACTCCACCTCCCAAAATTACTACCACCGTCACCTTTTCACCTGCAAAACGCCTCAGAACTTCTCAACTCACTTCTCCTCCTTCCACAAAACACACCAAAATCCCTAAGCTATCACCTCACGTACACAACCAACCCCCTCCTCTTCCTAACCCCACTCTCCACCAGAGGTTCCTGGATAAACTTCTAGAACCATCTATCGACCGTCTGGAACCTTCCAAATGTTATGATATTCGAAACCCCAAGTACACACCATTAGAGCAACAAGTTGTGGAGCTTAAGGCCAAGTATCCAGACATTTTATTGATGGTCGAAGTTGGTTATAAGTACAGATTTTTTGGTCAGGATGCAGAAAATGCTGCTAGGGTTTTAGGAATTTATGCACATATGGATCACAATTTCTTAACAGCTAGTGTACCGACTTTTCGGTTGAATGTCCATGTAAGGAGGCTGGTGAATGCAGGATACAAAGTTGGTGTTGTTAAACAAACGGAGACTGCTGCAATTAAGGCACATGGCTCAAATAAATTGGGCCCTTTTGGCCGTGAGTTATCAGCATTGTACACGAAAGCTACTCTGGAGGCTTCGGAAGATGTAGGGGGTGGAGATGAGGGGTTTGGGTCATGTAATAACTATTTGGTTTGTGTTGTCGAGAAGGGAATCGAGGATGTTGATTTTGGGATTGAGGGTTGTAGGGGGAATGATGTGAAAATCGGGGTTGTTGGGGTTGAGGTTTCGACCGGGGATGTTGTTTATGGGGAGTTTAATGATAATTTTATGAGGGCCGGGTTGGAGGCATTGATCCTCAACTTGTTGCCAGCTGAATTGCTTGTTGGCAGGCCTATATCTAAGCAGTCAGAGAAGGTGATTGATTATTACTGGAAAACAATGATTACTAATTTGTGTGCAAATCTCTCATAGAACTAAAAAGAACCTTTGGTTTCTCACATTGACTTCCTATTTATGGAAATGCAATATTCAGTTTGTTGAAAATTTAATTAGAGAAATAAAATTTCTCACTCTCTAAAAGCTTAAACTTTTAATAAAGGGAGCTGCGCAGTAAAAGTATATATTAGTATTTTGTTCTGTTGCAGATTCATTGTTAATTGTATCTGCATTGATTTCTAGATTGAAGACTGAACTGGTGTCTTGTATGAGGCAAGAACAACAGTGAAGCTTAATCGGCAAAACTCGAGCTGACCATGTATAAAATAAGATTCATGTTTGCCAGATCTCAAATGGGGCAAAATTATGCAGGCATGTCATCCTGACTCAGGCTGGGGTAGAACTGCCTCCCGTTTTGATGAAAATAATGGCCCACTCCTCGTCCTTTACCACAACACGTTGTAAACAAATTGCAATTTTAGGATGTACGACCTTTTCTTTTTCGGGAATATGGTCCATTTGTTTCTATTACCGACGAACAAATTTGTGTAACTCACAAACAGGGTAGTTGTTTGTACTCGAGCAGACCAGCCCAACTACGAAATGCCACTCATATGACCAAGCTAGCAAGTTATTGTAGCCTAGAGAAAGTGCATATCCAAGTGAGATGAATGTAATGTTTTAATATTTGAAGAATATATGGAGTGATCACTCACCGAAATAACACAGGAAATTAGTTAAATAATTAGTTTGAAGGTAGAGCACTTCGTACTTTTGTTTGCTTTGTCCAAAATTTCTTGGTGATATCATCTAGAGGTTTTGGACATGAAGTTACTGGTTTATTATTCAGTTTAGAGTTGTGCTTTTGGATGTTCACGTGCATGGGGTAATGCCATCATATTGAAGCTTGTATGGAACTTATCCAAAAAGATAATAATTGAAGTTCGTATATATATTATTTCAATTGAATGTCGGAGCAGTCTTGATGACATCATTGAAAATCGCCTAGTGACTCTTATGAATGTATTTCTTCAAAGCTCAGAGGTTCTGCTTTAATTTATTATATTCTTTTCAGCTGCTACTGGCTTATGCTGGACCGGCATCTAATGTTCGGGTGGAGGATGTATCATCAGACCAGTTCAGTGATGGCGGTGCTCTTGCTGAAGTGATGTCTCTATATGAGGGCATGCAGGAAAATTATTTGTTAAATGTCCAAGAAAGGGAAGAGGCTGAGGTGAAAATGCACGAACAGAATCGAATTGCAATCCAGGTGTAATTTCTACACTTGGATTTGGAGACTGAACAGTCTAAATTTTTAATATACCATCTAGCAGATGGAATCAAACTGTCAAAATTTGATATCTTCATATCTTTTGCAAACATGTTTATACTTTCTTATTTTATGTTTTTTTTTTGGGTTCACTATGGTACTTGGTTTCTTTGTGCATTAATTATGCCTCCTTCTTTCATCTTATTTTAATTTGATCTGTAGGGAATTATGGTAATGCCTGGTCTGGCTATACAAGCATTGGCCTTAATTATTAGACATCTAAAACAGTTTGGTTTGGAAAGAATTCTGTGCTTGGGAGCTTCATTTCGTCCCTTCTCTGGCAACATGGAGATGACCCTTTCAGCCAATGCACTGCAGCAACTTGAGGTGAGTGGTTACCCCCCCCCCCCCTTCCGTCTCCCCGCCGAAAGCGGATAAACCAAAGAAAAAGTGAAGACAACTATTTGGATATATTCCATAAATGAACTTTAGTAATTTAGGTACTTCCGGCATGAACAATACATTATCTTGTGTTTTCCTACGTTCTTTGCCCAAGATTCCTTCTCAAAGCAATAGTCGATAGGATTCAAAATTAAAGGAGGGTGTGATTGCTACAATTAATAGGACTTTGAAGCATGGAGTAAGCAAAATTAGTTGGGTCTAGGGGAACCATCTGTAAATGTGAACCTCAGTAAACTTGAGCTCGATTGACATAACTTTGTTTTCAGTATAGGATCTAAATTTGCTTTGATGACAGCATTTAATGTTTCTGTGACAAGTAGACTCCATACTCTAAGGCAGATAAGCATTTAAACAAGCAACTGTCAGTCGTCTGATTGATTTAATCAAACTAGTGAAATTTGTAATATAGATATAGTCTTAATGTGGATAATATTCCCAGTTTGAAGGCAACTGCCGACTCTCTGTACCTGAAACATTTGTAGAATTGGTTAAAACATCACAAGTGTATGAACTAGCAAGACGAAAGAGGGTAGCTCACTCATCCTCCCCCCCCCCCCCCCCCCCCCCCAAGAAAAGAAGGCAGTTCAAGTGGAAAGCTCTCTCCACCTCCAACCTGTAGACTTTTGGCTCCTGGGTAAGTGGGTTACGGTGGAGTAGATGCAAGTTACCAATAAGAAAAAGTGTCAACTAGCAAACTACTGTTGAGTAACTATCATTAAGGTGCTTATATTATACACTAGATGGGATAGGCCCGTGCAAGCACGGGCCCAACATTTTGTACTATACTGTGTTTTATATATGAATGTCAAGATTCAAGCACAATGGGGAATTATATATACTGAGACTGAAGTTATTAAACTGAGACTCAGGAAGACAATAAATAGTATTCTATATTGATATTGTTAAAGATCTGAACATTCTTAGACATGTGGTGCATGGGGGTGACAAGTGTGTCTAAGATGCGAGGCGATAACACTTAAAGCTACATGTGCAACATAATGGTATATGCTATTTCTCATGCTCCATTCTAAGTAAGGCTTCACAGCACCTTGACCCTACCAAACATGATCCTTGCAGCCAGTTGGATTATGCCTTCAACATTGATAGCACCAAACCAAAATGAACCCAACTTATCCTATACTTGTAAGGATAAAGCTCACATTGCCTGAAGTCATTGACTTGACTCTGAACAACTTCGAAAGTGTCAAACTTTACTGACAATCAAAGAAAACCTAGTATAACTTAAAAGAAACTGTTACGAAGAAGCAAATGCCTCTCGAGTACCAGTACTTTTGTGCAATATTAGCATTGCACTCTAAGCAGTTAGCTAGTTACTGAGATGTAAATCCTCTAATATGAAGTAGCATATGCATCATACAAAAGCTATAGCAGTTAAAGACTTGAATTTAGGTACTGCATTAGGAGATCTGTTGCTACAGTTAGCTGATGTATGAAAGAATAAAGTTATAATCACGGAGCATAGTCGTAATTCACTCGCTAATTCAGAGCCATTACTTCAGGACCTCCAGTAGCATCCTCCAGCCTACTCTTATATGATCATCAACTGCATTCCTGATCTCTTCAACCAAATTATTCTGTTGTTCCTCTATTGCGTTCTGCGACTCATCAGCCTAGGGAAGAATTTTAACATCAGCAAAAGATATCCAATTATATCAATCGAAGTTTTCTCAAATACATATAAAACATTAAGCACTTGGACCAAAGTTTTACTACTTATTCTATCTACAAATATGTTAAACATTCACATTCAAAACATTTTAAGGTAGGATATATGTTTGAGAATAAATTTAGATTACAATCAGTCTCCTAAACATATGAAGAGCTCTAGTGGCTCATGAGTGATTAAACATTTTATCATAAATTACTGCATAAAGATAGGAAAAAAGCTAGAATTCCCAAAAGTCTTGAAAAAGGTATTCCAGGTGTGATAAAGCACATTTCATATTCTGTATGTCAACAGATTTTGTACATTTTATGTAGGGACCTATTCATTTTTCATTATTGTAATCTTCATCTTGGGACATCGCATTCAATCATTTTTCACGAGTTAAGACAACATTGGAATCCTTAGACTAATCCTTAGTCTTTGACGACCTAGCTATATCTGATTCAAGAAAAAGAAGAAAGATGTGAAAGGAAAACAAAGCATGAAAATCGGAAAAAAAGGAAGGATGATTATATTGAGATTAAGAAATAACATTTAAAAAAAAAACAAAGAAAAGAATCATTGTGCCATTTCAAGCTTTCTAGCTAGAAGATAATATTAAAGATATCACATTTTTTTTTTGTGTGTGTGTGTATGCTTAGCATCTAATTGTAGAAGTGGTCATTTTTAGCAATCAAATTTCTGATCAAACTGCACATATCCAAGAGAGGAGCAGTCTTGAGTGCAAAATCAAACATTTAAAACTCAATAATAAATGCAAAGCTTTGGCATAAACCTTTAAACGTCGTTTCCCAGTGACAAATGATTGTAACTGCTGCATATTGTTTCTGCCATTTTATGCGGCCATAAGACTTGGTAATTCCTCGAGTAAAATAATCAGATGGATATGATCACCCCTTGGCCCTTGCCATTGAAATCCTGTATATAAAAGTTACTCCAAGAAGATAATTCCGCGAAGTTTCCAAACATAAACCATTCTTACAGTCTCCATCACCCATCATTCTCGATACGCCAAATCATCCTGACTAACTCATAAAACAACCTTCTTATTATCTTCTGTAGCTTGAGAGTGACTGTTGCAAGTTTGAGACTACCAAGCAGCATTTATGTTTGTGCACCTTGGAGATATCCAACTTTCTTCAAAATGTTTAGTAGATCATAATACTTATCCATCTCCTATTCAATCACATCAATAAAAATTCTTCAATCAGTTTCATATCTAAAGCATGGGCATATTTAAACATGCCAATAAGCAAGAGGCAATTGTAGTTACTTGTAGGTAGGGGTGTTCATGGTTCGGTTTTTCCCTAAAAAGAAACCAAACCACGTAAGTCGTTTTTTTCAAACATTAGAACCAAACCAAACCAATTAAGTCGGCTTTGCCGATTCGGTTTATGTCGGGTTTTGTCGGTTTTTCGGTTTTTTCGGTTATTTGTCGGTTTTTTCTTAAATATAAGACATACACTACCAAACACATATTCCGGCAACCACATTTTCAATGTAACACTATCAAATCAATTGCCCTTTGAGAAATCTATTATTTACTAAAATATGAGCCCGCTTGGATTGGCTTATTTTAAGTGTTTTTAAGCCAAAATAACTTTTAAGCCATTTTGTAGTGTTTGGATAGAGTAAAAAAGTGCTTTTAAGCACTTGTTTTTAAGCTAAAATGACAAAAACAAGCCAAAAGCTAGAATTCCTAACTTATGGCTTAAAAGTCACTTAAAATAAGCCACCCAAACGGGCTCTATATTGATGATAATTTAATCAAATAGTGATGAATGATTTAAGGACTCGATTAAAAATATATTTTTTTAATGGATTATTACACTTAACAAAAGAAAACTACCAATCAAACTAGAATATAAAGGTAAAAAATGTACTAAAAGTGCAAACGATTAACATTAACCATAAATTTTTTGAAACTTTGTATAAAAATATACATATATATAGGTGTAATAATAAATTTGAAATAGCTACTCTTATAGTCGGTTTGGTTCGGGTTTTTTCGGTTATTTTTTGATTAAAACCAAAACCAAACAAATTTGATCGGTTTTTAAAATTCAAAACCAAAACCAAACCAAACCAAAAAGTATCGATTTTTTTGGTCGGTTTGGTTTGATTTTCGGTTTGGTTCGGTTTTTCGGGTTTTTATGAACACCCCTACTTGTAGGCAAATTATATCAGGATTTAATCCGAGGAGTTCTTCACAAATAGCTTTTCTACGGTGGTCAATGTCCTTTTTTTTATTTTGTGGTAAGTGCATCTAAATATCGTGCTTACTATGCACGCCAATCCTTAGAAAGAATAGCAATGAGATTTCACGTGCCCCTCCTCCTTTCTTTGATGCTACTGGAAAGTACATATTTTGAAGAGCAGACTTCATTTATTCAAATATCAACATTCTTTTAAGCAAAAAGAAGGTATATTCTTGAGCTCTCTTTTAAGTCTGTCTTCCACCAACAATCAGTGCAAATCACTATGGTTTCATCATCATGGAAGCTAACAGTCTTTTCATCCCTTAATACCTTGATTCTCATCTCACCCTCTTTGTGTGCAAAAGTAAAATTTTCAGAAGGCAATTTCACAAACACCTAGCAGGCAAACTGAAGCAAAGCTGCCTAAAAAAAATTGAAATCTAGCAAACAATTGGTGATTCCTTAGACTTATTAAACCCAGAAGCAACGCACGAAGAAGAAGAAGAGAATTAATTACCTCCAAACGCAGTGATCAAATCTTAGAAGTAGAGCAAAAGAACAAATAAAGAGAGACCCAAATTGAGAAACAGAGAAAATTTTATGAAGAAGAAATACAAACTCAGAGAATTCAAATTTGAAGAAACAAAGAATCTTTAGGAATCACAAGCATCAACTTTGATACCTGGTGAAGGGGTTACTCCACTGCAAGAGAAGATGGTTGTACAGGGAATACAAGAAAATAATAATTTAAATCAAAGACAACTCCAAAAGATACTACTGATTGTAGGAATTGTAGAAGTACAACCAAGAGAGAAGAACAGCGGATGATTTAGATTCACCGTGTGGTACTTTTATGCAATTTGGGAAACTTTTCCTCCAAAGTACAGCATGTGCAACATAAAGTATAACTTACTCCTGCGTAAGATAAATTTAAAAATTAATTTGAAATGACCAAAGTGCCCCTTGGTAAGCAGGCATGACGACCCCCAGCTGCTTCCCAAGCGGCTTCTATATAGTAAGTAATATATATTTTTTTTTTGAAAACCATGGTGTCCGGGCCAGCTTGCGCGCACCTCGACTAATTCCACGGGATACCTGCCACCTCCCACCAGCAGCAGGTACCAAGTAACTCTATCCACCAAGGCTTGGATAGATGGGAAGAAATCACCTAGTGTGTTTTGCCTCCACTGGGATATTATACATATAAACTGATTATATGTATGTATAATACTCCCTCCGATCCAATTTATGTAAACATGTTTCCTTTTTAGTCCTCTTAAAAAAGAATACCCCTTTCTAAATTTGGAAACAATGTGACTTTAAACTTACCATTTACCTTAATAAGACGATTTATAGCCACACAAATATCTATTATGAATTGTTTTTGGCCAGAAGTTTTAAAAGTCTTTCATTTCCGCGCCCGGTCAAATAGATTCACATAAATTGGAACGAGGTGAGTATACAATTTAATAAGAGTTTTAAAAGTTTTCTTTTCATTCTCTCTACTTACTCCACCAGTAGTCTTTTAGCTCTCAGGAGACATACAAAGGCATATTCTTTCCAGAATTGTTATTTTACCGATGATGTAGGTTTTGAAGAATAATTTTGACGGATCTGAGTCTGGCTCCTTACTGCATTGTATGAATCAGACACTTACCATATTTGGTTCAAGGCTTCTCAGGCATTGGGTATGGAGATCTTTTGGCCCCTAGTTTGTTGGGTTATAGTAATATGAATGGATACAGAGTACATCGATAATTTTGTATTTTGCAGGTGACTCATCCTTTATGTGATAGAAACATGATAGGTGCTCGTCTTGACGCAGTCTCAGAGATTGCAGAATCTATGAAAACTTATCGAACTTCTCATACTTCTGTCTTAGAGGTGGAAGGTGCTGATGTTACCATTTTGCAACCAGAGATACATCATATAATTTCTTCAGTTCTGTCCACTCTGGGAAGGTCACCAGATATCCAACGCGGGATTACAAGAATTTTTCACAAAAAAGCTACCGCATCTGAGGTGAAGGGATTTATCTTTTGTTTAATTGGTCAAGATTTTCTTAGCTTTATACTATATGCTACAGTCTTTGATCTGATGGGGAAGATCATCAAAATGCAACTTTTCAAAGGTTCCCTCACTTGTGCAACAAGCTCTGGTAACTACAGACAGGAACCTGTGGTGGAGAAATATTAAACTTTCGGTTGGATGTTCCGATCAGCTTGCAATGCTTAGACATGAGATCATGAAACTATAGCTTTATCGCTCACCCATAAACAAGCATATACTGTTCCTTGAATTGGTTTTGCAGCCTCAATCATTTTCTAGATGAAAGTTAATAGGAACTTCTGTATCAGTTTATTGCAGTCATTCAAGCTATCTTGACTGCTGCAAAACAACTTCAGCAGCTTTGGATAGAAGAGTATAAAAGTACGAATCTACAAAGAGAGACCTTGCGCTCAGTACTGTTGAGAAAGTTAATATCAATTGCCTCATCGTCTACTGTTATTAATGCTGCTGCAAAGTTTTTGTCTGCTTTAAACAAGGAAGCCGCTGACAGACGAGATCTTCACAATTTATTCTTCATTTCTGACGGAAAGTTCCCTGAGGTTTGTTTGTATTCTCTTTCTGTGCCATGTTTCTTACCTGACCTTGATTCATTGACCAATTTCAGTTTGTTCACAGGTTGCTGAAGGTACAAGGAGAGTTGAGTTGGCAAATGAGAAGTTAGACTCATTAATTGTTGTGTATCGCAAGCAGCTTCATATCCGCAATTTGGAGTACATGAGTGTAGCTGGAATTACACATTTGATAGAGGTACATTACTAGAAGAAATTAGAACAAGGTTTTATCATGTTCCCGTCTTTTTTATTTGTTTATTGTTATCATGTTCCCATCTTTCTTCTTGAAATCTTCCTTTCATGTTTAGTGGTTTTAACTATTTTTAAAATATTTACTCAAACTCTTGGTCAAAATATTCGCTGTTTGTGGAATCTTTCCAGTGTGCTTGAAATAGTGAGGACTTGTTCTTGCTTTTCCTGATTTTTAATTGCTTCTGTTGATGACTTACATGAAGTCCTTTCTTCAAATAGTTTTAACTGTTAGTAGAGTCTTTCTGAAACTCCTTTGGGCAGTCACAATGATTTATTTCTATTAAGTCCTTTTACGTCCTCTTGCTGTTGACAATTTGGAAGTATTTTGCTTCGCATTGCTGTTTTTGTTCACTCTTGGTTGACTAAACCTCAGGATTCAAAGTGTTGCAGTTTCAGATATATATTTTGTTGTGTTGTTCTCTTCTACTGTGCTGTCATGATCCATCTTATTTTTTTCTAATCACCGAAATATATAGTCATTTGGTTTTCTCTTTTTCCTTTTGTTTAGTTTTCTTTTCGAGTTGGTTCTTTCTATTGTTTATTTTCTATCTTTATTTTGGTGTGGGGAGAGGGGAGGGGATGTGGTTATGGATTGTCCAAGAAAATGGTCCTCCTGGTCGCCATGCTTGGCTTCAGCAGCGCCAAGTATTAACCATGTCTTGTTGTCCAAGTCCTCTTCTGCCCAACACCTTTTCCACCATGTGTCGGACATGTTTAACAAAGATGTATATCTCATGCCTTTTCCCCTATGTAAATTCTCCTGGATGCAAGTGTCTAGACGAACTTTTGAAGGAAAACAAATATCAGATCAAGATTTGCATTATAGTGCAAAACCGTATTCCAATGTCTGTGTCATTTCTGCTTTGTGGTTTCTTTTTTAGCTTGTTGGTGCTGCATAGGTTCCAAGTTTGAGGCCTTTAGGTTGTAATTATCTTTAGTGCATACCTTGAACCTGTGGTCCATAGTGAGATATTAAAACCAAGGAAGTCTGCCCTTTTATAACGTATTGTTTTGTTTTGACTGGATGTTGCTTCAACTGCAGCTGCCTCTAGACACAAAGGTGCCGCCAGATTGGGTGAAAGTGAACAGTACTAAGAAAGCAATACGCTATCATCCACCAGAAGTATTGGTGGCTTTAGATGAATTAGCATTGGCAAATGAGCAGCTCACTGTCGTTTGCCAAGCTGCTTGGAATAATTTTTTAACGAGGTTTGGTGGATACTTTGCTGAGTTCCAAGCTGCTGTGCAGGCCCTGGCTTCATTGGATTGTCTAAATTCTCTTGCCATTCTTTCGAGGAATAAGGTTAAATATTATGTTTTCCCCCTTTTTGCTTCTACTTGTTTTATTGGATGTGAATGGTGCTTTATTATTTGTTCCAGAATTATGTCCGTCCACTTTTTGTGAAAGATGATGAGGCTGTTCAGATACATATTTTCTCTGGTCGTCACCCGGTATGTGCTAAAAACAGTACTTATTAAAGCTTCACCTTTTTTAAGACTGCTTTAGATATTGCAGCTTAACTTCTGTTTGTGATTTGAAAAATAACTTACTTTAGTTTTAACTGACAAGAGAGTGTAGCTCAAGTGGAAAGTCTCTCCACCTACAACCTTGAGACTGGGCGTTCGAGTCACCAAGGGAGCAAGGTGGAGACTTATTCTGGTTTAGATCAAGGGAGAGAGATCGGTTTCTTTATTTGATTTGCGAGTAGGATAACTAATACAGGCTAGCTCTATGTTGCAATGACATATCCTGTGCTTGAGAAGGTCTTGTGTCTGCTTTGACAGTGCACTGAAAGTTATGATTCTTTGATCTCGAAAGTGACAAAGATCAGGATTGGCTGCTGTGCAAGTCCCTTGCTTACCTTTAGCAGGGACCAAATCGACTTATTTGACTCCGTGGAGGAGAGTTGGGTGGGGTAAATGTAGGCCGCCAAAAAAAAAGGATGAGACTGACATATCCTGTGCTTGAGAAGGTCTTGTGTCTGCTTTGACAGTGCACTGAAAGTTATGATTCTTTGATCTCGAAAGTGACAAAGATCAGGATTGGCTGCTGTGCAAGTCCCTTGCTTACCTTTAGCAGGGACCAAATCGACTTATTTGACTCCGTGGAGGAGAGTTGGGTGGGGTAAATGTAGGCCGCCAAAAAAAAAGGATGAGACTCTGTTTATGTCTTCATCTGTATTACATACCCCCAAGGATAGTGTATTATGCTGGATTTTCGTCTTACTGAATAATATCAGTACTAAAGAAGGCATCCCATCATATTTTCCAGCAAAAATGGTGAATCTGAATGGAAAACAGAATTGAAGTCATTGGGCCACATTGGCTGATTTACCATGAAAATCAGGTATCTGTAATTAGTATATCACCTGGAAATTCAGGTGTTGAAATGGCTACTGCAGTAACCTTTGCCAACATTAAGACATTCGGCAATTACATTTTTGTGCCTCTTGGCAACTCATCCATCACATTCCCATAAAGAACCACCCCGAGCTTGTTTTTTGGCATCCAAAAAGAGAGAAATGTTAAAAAGATTTAACACTATAAACTGTTGAAAGAATATACTATGATTTCTATAATAGCACTTTCTCATAGTTTGTCAAGTAGATTAAGCCTTTTGGAAGCCAAGAGATAGTGGGATACCACAAGTATACATTTCGTGTAAATCAATCTCTTCTATGGTTCTTAGTGATGAATCTTCTTAATAGGCCTATATGGTATGAGACTACCATTAAGCTAGATGCTCTGATGGCTTGCAAATAATATAGAAAATTAAATTTTCTATTTGTTGCCTGGTAGTGCTCCGTAATGACATGAGATAACCTCTTTGATGCTTGCTGCCTTGCCAATTGAAAGAAGGATTAGGATGCTCTTTTTACCCTTTTCATTTTCATTGGTTGTTTAAGACATTCATGTGTGTTTATGATTCCTGATTGACATATTTTGAACCTTTGAATTTTAACTGAGGGCTTTGAACAGGTTTTGGAGAGAGTATTACAAGAGAACTTTGTCCCAAATGATACAGATTTGCATGCAGAAAGAGAGTATTGTCAGATTGTTACTGGACCAAATATGGGAGGAAAAAGCTGCTATATTCGCCAAGTTGCTCTCATCACTTTGATGGCTCAGGTGAAGCCATATTGATGCTTGCTTCTATGTGATTACCTTTAGAGTTATTTGCTTCACAATCTTTGTGTGACTTTAGACGTGAAAACGTTCTTTTACAGAAGAATGTATACGAGTCAGAATAAGGTACAACTGTTAGAAAAGTTTACTGGGAGAGAGATATTTCTTGGTAGTGGTCCTTTGTAGGTGATCCCTGTGGCAGTATGACTGAAGGAACATTTCCTAATAGTTCACTCTTTAAAATAAAGACCATTTTAAAGGTTTCGTGGTAACACTGCTTATCAGAATCTTTTTAATGTAAAGCTGGCCTCTTGCTCATGTTCTCAAGGAATTGATGAATATTAATTACTTGTATCTCAAACAAGTCTAAGGACCCGTTTGGCCATAGATTTTGCCAAATTCCCAAATCCCAAAACCAGCTCAAGAGCTGGTTTGGCCCAAAATTTTACTATTACATTTTTAAAAAAATTTAAAAATTGCCCAAACTTTTGTATTTTATGAAAGAGCCCACCATTTATTATTTTGTAACAATGCTGCTTCGTCTTCTCGATAGTGTATTATGTAGTTCATTATAAAAATGATAATTTTGTACCAAATTTATTTATGTTCAGGACTATGGTTTGTGATAATGATAATGAATATTATTGATGAAGGTACTGTTGGGTATTTGTGATAGTTTTTAGAATTTGTGGGTATAAGTCATGTTTCATGTTTTTTCAAAAAAAAAAAAAAAGTGAAACATGTTTCGAAAGCTTATGTCCAAACACATTTTCATCTGCAAACCAAACTTCACCTAAATCAGATTTTTCAAAACAAATTTGGGAATTTATGGCCAAACGCTAGCTAAATGTCTAATTGGAAAATAAGTCCAAAGGAAAGCAGTCTTAGTGATGGCTTGCTGGTGCATATCTTCTTTACTGAAGATCAACAACACTATGGTTTGATAAAGGTGTTTTTTTCTGGATTCCTCTAGGTTGGATCCTTTGTTCCAGCGTTCTCTGCAAAACTGCATGTGCTAGATGGCATATATACTCGCATGGGTGCATCCGACAGTATACAGCAAGGAAGAAGTACATTCTTAGAAGAACTCAGCGAGGCTTCTGAAATACTGAAAAAATGCTCAGCCAGCTCATTGGTTATACTTGATGAACTTGGGAGAGGTACCAGTACACATGACGGCGTAGCAATTGCTTATGCAACACTTCAGTATCTCCTAGAACACAAGAAATGCATGATTCTATTTGTCACCCATTACCCTGAAATTGTCAGTATCAAGAATGAATATCCAGGCTCTGTGGGACCATACCATGTGTCATATCTGACATCCCAAAGAGAAGTGAATGGGGATTTCAAGCCAAATGAGAAGATGGATCACATCAATAGTGAAGACATCACCTACCTTTACAAACTTGCACCAGGGGTCTGCGAGAGAAGTTTTGGTTTTAAAGTTGCTCAGCTTGCACAAGTAAGTTAGCCTGAATTCATGGTTCCTCTTTGGACTGGTCCAGTAGAAGACATTCTCAGTGAAGCCTGATAGTAAATCTAATATGCTAGGGAACTTGGAATCCACTCTAAAAATCTAAATTTGAAAGGAGAGCCACTAACTAAAGTTTTTGAGTCGCTAATGCTCCAGTCTTTTTCAGTTTTACTCCATTGCCAGGGTCAATATGGTTTGATTTGTAGTCCGGTCATTTCCATTGGACTATTCAAACATCCATCATTTATCTCATAGTTCTGGTTGGTTTCAGCTGCCGGTTGCGTGTATTCAACGAGCCATTGTAATAGCTGGAAGACTAGAAGCAGCAGTCTCTAACTACACAGCGCAAAATCGAACTAGAAGGAGCTCTTCGATAAGTTATAGCAAAGATGGTTGTAAAGTATCTGAACCAGTGGAGTATGTCTTAGAACCTGATTGCTTGTCTGCTGGAAGAGTTGAAAACTTAGATGATATGAGCGAGCTTTACAGGGAGTTCTTTCTGAACCTAAGCTTCGCACTTCTTGAAGAACATGATGATGACAGGAAGCTCCAGTTTCTAATGCAGGCTAGAAGCCTTGCTGCTCAGTTAATAAGTAGGTAAAGACTAATTAATTTATCCTATCGTTCTTTCCGCTGCAATCAAGTATTCCTTCCTTTCCATTTAAACGAGGGATTTTTCCTTTTTGGTCAATTTCAAAAGATCGACATGCTTTTCTGTTTCGGGGTAGCTCTGTCGTTTTACCTTTCATTTTTCCTGTAATGACATGTCTTATTTCTTATAGAATGCCATGGCATGTTCTTTTTCTTTCTTTCTTAAAATCCATCAACATTCAAACACCATCATATAAAATGAAATGAAGGAGAAGTTTTTTCCGAACTGATGCATGATTATCTTGACCTTATCTTTTTGGTACATATTTCTCACTCCCGGTTGCACTTGTTTGTTATTTCAGACTTTAGGCTCTTAAAATACCTTGAAACGCCTCCAATTAGGCGTAGCTCGAGTGACAAAGCTCAGACCTCAAGGACTTCATGGTCCTGGGTTTGATTCTTCCTGGAGGGGGGTTCTTTAAGAAATTTAAAACTTACTCTTCCTCTTATCTACTAATCTCTTCAACTGGAGTTTGGTTCTGATTCCTTTTATTTCCAACTCCTGTTGCATTTCTTCATAACAGTGGGTAATTGTGTCTCCTGGAAAGGAGAAAAAAGGGTGCTCAGGCCCAACCATCCTTATTTGTAGCTGTGGCTGCGCTTCATTGCGTCTTCTGTAAGCCTGCATCCATGCCAGTACTTTGCTAATGTCCCATTGTTGTCCCAACATGAAAAAGACCCTTGTCTTTTGCAGGTAAATGCTGAGCTGCTTGCCTGCTTGTACAGTAATATTAAGGGGACAACTATTTTGGTCAAAATAGAGAAGACAAATTCCTTGCTTTGTATCATTCAGGTGATGAATCATCTTTAGCTTCTGCTTATCTGGTTGAGCTCGTATCATCGCTATCGATGTCCCTCTTATTATTCCTCAACCATATTGTGGATGAGAATTTGCAAAGGTGACTATTTAACTATTGAAGTGATTATCTTCAAAAAAGAGAACTGAAAGTGAGCATTGAAATCATCCTGAAACTCTTGTCCACATATATGACTTGTTAATTATTGAAATCTGGATCCTAAACAAAAGTAAATATACCTTTGAAAACTTTACTTGATAACAATATATTAACATCAAATTGCAATTTCAATATACTCTTAGATATGTGAGTAAAGACCACGGACAATGAATGTATTGACATGGTGAATGATTATATTTTTTTATAAGATCCTCATCACCGCTAAGCTTGACAACAACATAAACTTCATGGTGAATGATTATATTTTTTATAAGATCCTCATCACCGCAAAGCTTGACAACAACATAAACTTCATCATGCGCTTCGATGTTGGAGATCTTAACAACCATTTTAAACGTGACCTTTCTTTTAATAATAGTATCATCTCCAATGCATTATATAACATTCATCAACAACACACCAGTGGAAAACCATATTAGTATTAGAAGTGTTTTAGACTCCAAAAATAATGAAAAATAATAATATATCTCAATCAAACTTCCTTCAATTCATTGGTAGAGCTTCCTATGGGCTGCAGCCTACATTGCTTTATGACCCTAAAGTAACAGTCAAATAAAATCAGTACTATTCAGGACACTCGTTTGAAGCTTGTACCTGGAAGGAACTTTTGATTAAAATATAACGCCACTATGTTCTAATATATTAAGGCAACATGTCAATATCTATTAGCAACAAAATACTCGATACATCGCATCCTTGCATTTAAGTTTGTTTCCAACTTTGTCAAAGTTGATAAAGAATGCCTTAAACAATCAATGAAAAAGAAAAGGGTAAAAAGAGCATCCTAACCCTTCTATTTAATTGGCAAAGATAGCAAACATCAAAGAGGTTATCTAATGTCATTACGGAGCACTGCCAAACAACAAAATACTAAATTTCTTATATTATTTGCAAGCCATTTGAGCATCTAGCTTAATGGTAGTTTGTATCATATATGCTTATTAAGAAGATGCTTCACTAAGGACCATAGAAGAGATTGATTTACATGAAACGTAGACTAGTGGTATACCGTGGATTTCAAAAGGCTAAAGTTACCTGACAAACTATGTGAAAGTGTTATCTTAGAGATCTGTTTAGATTGTCGTTCTTTTTAACATATTCTCTCTCTTTTTTATGTCGAAAAACAACCCCAGGGTGGTTCTTTATGGGAACGTGATGGATGAGTTGCCCAGTGGCATAAAAATATAATTGTCAAATGTCTTAATGTGGTAATGGTTACTGCAGTAACCATTTCAATACCTGAAAATCCAGGTAATATACAAATTACAATGGTAATTATTAAAGTTGATAAAGTTGAAAACAGAATAAAGAAAGTCCCAAGAGCAGAATGACTGTCTAACTCCCCCAAGTACTAGGGTACTGCAAACAAATTATATTGCAAGAGATGTGACCTTTTTGAGTATTCCGTTTCTCACAGATATTCACCATAATTTCTGTTGCCTTAATATATTTAAACATTGTAGCTTTATAGTCTAGTCAAACGTGCCTTTCAGATACAAGCTTCAAGTGTGTCCATTAGAGATGGATACTATTTTTGATAGAATGGTCATGTTTAAAGTGGTTGTTAAGTGCTCCTGTCCAACATTGAGGCACGTCATGAAGTATATGCTGTTAAGCTTACCGACGATGAGAATCTTATAAAGCAATATAATCATTCTCAGCGTCAAGATACATTCACTGGGTGGTGGTTACTGTCTTACTAACATATCTTATAACATATTGAAAATGCAGGTTGATGCTAATAAAAATTATTATCAAGTAGAATTTTCAGTGATGTTAATTATTTTTGTTTATAGGATCCAATTTAACAAGTTGTATATGAAGAAGTGATTCAGGATGATTTCGACGCTCACTTTCAATCTCTTTTGAAGATAATCACTTCAATTAATTAAATAATTGCCATTCTAAATTCTCATTAACAATAACAATGTGGTTGTGCTCATTTTTTGGGTGTGGATGATTTGCAACTTTTGTAAGTTGCAGGAAAGCTCCATCTTAAGCCAAATGAGAATTAATATCTACAGTAATTCATAGGATGGCAGGTGCTGGCTTAGTCGTATTCCTTGATGATTCCAGAGTGTAAACTTAAAAAGTAGAACACCCATGCTGGTAGTGGATGAATGCTTCATATGTAAGAAAAATCTTTTCTTTTTTCTTTTCAGATGACGGTAGTGTTCAAGTTGGCCTGGAGAGCTTCATCTTGACTGGTTCAGTTGCCAATTCGCTGCAGCCTACAGTCACTGGTATAATGAGAACCTGCTCATGGAAGTTGGAGTAGATGGGCTTACACCAAGTGTAGTGGCTGGATTTAAGAATTCTATTCTTATTCCTCTCGTGTCCAAGTATTCCCTATTGCCCATCAATTTTCAATAGTTGTAGACAGAAGCTAATCTGTCTTAGGCCCATGGTAGTCTGCTGCTCTTTCCAGAGATTGCACCAGCATAAACCAGTGGTTCAGTATCATGATGCGTCTAAAGTCATCCTTTTGCGAGCATTTCATCATTTTCCTTTATCAATTAAGTTAAAAGCTGTATACATCTGAATGAACAGATAACTGTTGGCCTGGATGCATATGAGGTAACTTCACCTGATCTTCTTCCATGCTGATTCTAACTATGATATGATTTTGTTAGTACAATGGTGACCGAGCTGCAATACAAGAATACAGGAAGATGTAAAAAAAATGACGAGTTCATGTATGTTCTATATTTGAGAAGGATATTAGTAAAAGCAACACACTTGAGGCTTAAAGTTCTAAAAGCTGAACGTAAATGTTGAAGGTATCCAACTTTATCCAAGTCAAAGTGGCTAGAGATGGCCAGAGGTCCAATATTCTTTTTTTTTTTCTTTTTCCCACAGGCAAGAACATCAAGGGACGTCAAGCCTTTTCTAAATTGGCATAAATGTTACCTGAGGAGTTCACCGGTTCCTCTGTTCTTTTATGTAATTATCTAATTCTTGCGGTGGTGGTTGGGGTTTGGCAATTGGCATTCAACTGTACCTTAAAGTGTAATAATATATGAAGTAGGAGATGTGGTGCCTTACTTTCTCAATGGGTATAATAGATTACGAAACATTAGAAAGTTAGTAATTGAAAGTTTCATAACAGTATCTGATGCTTGGGCGGTGTTTCTTACTCAAAAGTCAGGCGTCTTTATCTTCTTCAGCTTGAAAGGCACTCTAACTTCTCCTTGGCATTTTGCGAGAACATTTGCTACACAAATTGTCTCACTAAATCAATGAACAACGTTTTCATTTCCTTGTCTACTATAAAGTGCAATTATCGTGAAGGTTAATGACTTCTTTCAACATGTTAACCAATGCGTAGAGTTCAGTTCAAGAATTTCATTCGCAAATCCTTCAAGTGTACCAGTTATCTCAATATGTTTCGGATTTTTGATTTTTTTTGTTACGTGAAATTATTTCAATCTTACTTTGTTAAATTATTTATAAGTAAATATATGTTTAGCAAAAATTAAAAAATTAATAATCATATTCTATTAAAATATTCTTATGGAAGAATTTTCTTAGTAACATATAATAGTTATTTTTTTATCGTCTCACAATAATTTTTCCTTGATGTATACTTTCAAGGTTAACCGAATTTAATTATTAAACATAAAAGTTAATATGATACCTAAATTATGTTCTATTTAATTTTAAATATCGAAATACCACTTCAAATTCGAAAAAGGTATACGAATTTAATATATGTTGACATATGAATATGGAAGAACAAAGAGATTAACGCATTTCAATAAAACTTGATAAGAAAGTGATCATACAACCCATTATTTAAAGTTAATAAATATGGAGCACTTCTATTAAATATTACATCCCATATCCAAACCGAAATTAGAATTTTTTTGGATTTTTTATTTAGATTTTCGGATTACGGATTGGATTTTGAATTTTAATTTTAAAAATTTCGGATGGGATATTTTCGGGTTTTTGGATATCCGAAAATTCAAAATTTTTATTCTTTATATTGAGTCCATTATCCATATGCCAATAGTAATAAGTTAAATATCCTACCCATTAGATATTATCTCATATTGAATATTAATTACTAAGTTTCTATAAGAATGCTTTTTATTTGGACATGGTTTTACTATTGCTACTTTTTATCGATTGTGTTAATGTTGCATTTCCTTGATAATAATTTCATTACTTGAATATTTTATTTGGATGACTGCGGCGAGAATGAGGAACTTTTCAGGCAATTTAACATAAGTCCGTAATTTGGATATTCATTTTTGTATAAAGAAGAAACATCTCAACATATAAGCTCAATACCGAAAATTCAAATTATCCAAACCGATTAATCCGAAACCGAACTTAAAATATCCGATCCAACCCGAACTTATTTAGATTGGATTTGGATTGTCATTTCTTCAATTCGAAAATCGAAAATCCAAATCGAAATTTTCATATCCAATCCGAATTGTCCGAACGTCCACCCCTACTTGAAAGTATATATAAAAATTATATATTTATATGTCGGTTTGGTTTGGATTTTTTTCTCAATACCAAACTTAATCGGGGTTTTTTAATCGGTTTGGTTTGACTCTTTGATTTATTGCGGTTCTCCGGTTCGGTTTGTACATCCCTAGCTGCATTTACCTCGACCACTCTGTCTTCCTCGGGACCCGGCAACCGGTTGGCTACTGTTATTGCTGCATTCACCTCTTCATATTGCACGCTGAAGCTAACTTAAATCTCAAGGCAGTTGTTTCGGTTTGATTTTTTTAGGAGGGAGGGAGGACGAGTAATCAGAGGCGGGTCTAGGATTTTTATAACGTGGGTGCACCACCAACGAAAGGATTAAAAAAAATATTAAGTGAAAATTGATCCCTACTTCCTCTAGGTAAATAGCTCAGCATTTAACCAAGTACATCGTTTAACCTCTTTGGAGCATAAGTAACATCATATAATATTAGATCAATTCTAAAAAATATGTACATAAAAATATGATTTGATAGAGAGAACATGGATTCACGTGCCTCATATATAGTAGTTTGGGTCTATTGCTGATTTCATTTTATTTTCCTCTGGACCATGGTGCAAGACAGCAAGAGTAATAGGAATTAGCTTGGCCAATACTAGGAAATGCTTGAAGGAAGAAAGGGGTTTCGTTTTCTTTTCGGTTAAAAAATTTACAAGAGAGAGAGAGAGTGTGTGTGTACATTCAACATGCTGGCTGGTATTCTAAGGCTACAACAGGTTGCTCGTCTAGGAGAGCAAACCAAGAAACGATATTGCGACAAGTTGATAGCATACGAGCATTTGCCAGAGATGGGCAAACTTATGATAAACATTAGAATAAAATATACATATACACACCCATTACGCCGAAGAAATATCCACGTTCACTTTCAGTATAGGTTGTCCTTAATTCCCGCAAGGAACATTCTCAGTTCTCTGGCTCTTCTTATATGTTCAGGGGAAAACATATCATTTTCTGAATCACTAAGCTCAACTACATCAATGCATTGAACGTTGTCCTCTTGGTGTTTGGATTTCCAAGAAGCATGCCGCACCGGTGGAGGACTTGTGAGATCAATTACTTCAGCTTTAGACAAAGCTGGTAAAATGTCGTCCTCTTGGCAAATGGCGCTCCCAGAAGCAAAACCCTTCTTGACACTGTTGCTATTCCACGTACTATGCGTCTGTATGCTAGAGTCTACATGAATTTGAGCAAAGTTTTCATCATCCTCCGATACTGATCCACATAAAACAGTGGCATCGTCAGCGGCAGAGCTTTCTCGATCAACCTCAAGCAAGAGGTCTTGGAGTTTTTGATCAATCTGACCCAATGGTGGCGTTTTCTCTAGTCTCTGTCTTCTTGATCTAGTATTATTTCTTTTCTTTCCTTGAGCTCGTCTTTCCTGGAACTCCAAAATCCTTTCCGGACAAGCCCTGTTGGCAAAGAAGAGAAAAGATTCGACAACATAGATCAACCAATTTTTTTGTCAACAAGGAGGAAGCTTGTATTTTATTCTGAATGGATATCTCTTGAGCTTGCATAATTACTAAGCAATTGCTATACTGGGAACTAATGCATTTTATGTCAACCTTACTGAAAAATACTCTGTGGTGGCTGGCCAATAGTACAAATTCAGGAAAACTTGCAAACTGACTGGTCATCCTCGTTGAATTTATCTAGTGCAGGGGAGAGGTCAGCAAGTTCAATCATTTAAGGGTGCATTTGGTACGAAGGAAAATGTTTTCATGGAAAATGAATGATTTTATAACTTATTTTATCTTGTTTGGTTGGTGAGCGGAAAACATTTTCTGGAAAATAAAGTACTCATTTTATTGAAATAAAAGAAAATACTTTTTCTACATCATGAAAAGAAAAAATATTCATTTTGTTGAAATGAAAAAAAAAATAATTTTTTTACATCATGAAAAGAAAATACTTTTTTTGTTGAAATGAAAACAAAAATACTTTTTCTACATGAAAAGAAAAGTATTTTTTTTTGTTAAATAAAAAAAAAACTTTTTTATATCATGAAAAAATACTCATTTGTTGAACTGAAAAAAAAAAACTATATCTATAACATGAAAAGAAAGTACTATTAATAATATTTTTATTTAAGGTGTAAGTGGGGTGGAGGGGGTGGGGTGAGTAGGTGGGGCCGAGACGGGGGTGGGTGGGGGTGGGATGTGGAGGTGGGTTGGTGGGTGTTGGTGGGGATGGGGAATAGGGTGGGGAATGTTGAGAAGGATTTATGGAAAATGTTTTCCCTTCTCTTGATAGGGAAAACATTTTCCTCCAATTGGGGTAAAATGAGTTCATGAGGAAAATGTTTTTCAAAATATTTAGGGCAACCAAACATGGAAAAATTGGAAAATATTTTCCTTCATACCAAACACACCCTAATTCATCATGGTCAAGTGATAAATTGAGGTGAGAATACATAATAGTTAATCATGGTTAAGCGCTAGAAGTGTATAAGTAGAGGCGACGCCAGGATTTGAAGCTTATAAATTCAGAGATTCTAGTCCTTTTAAATTAGTGGGTTCTGAATTAGTATTTTTATATATTCAATGGAATTCTTAAGACAAATACAGGGTTTGAACCAAAGCTAGTGGGTTCAGCTGAACCCGCAAACTAACTACTAGCTGCACCCGTGCATAAGTCATATATTTATTGGTTTGATGCAAATACTAGGTGTGGATAACAAGCTGGATAGAATAACATAAAACAACACAAACCAACACACTGATCTAAAAGTTGCTTCACCGGAGGGCCTAAGTTGATGAGCATGAATTTATAAAATAGAAAGAGAAGTGGTGTGGTTAAGGAACTAACTCTTTTTCAAAAACCAAAGTAGGAAAAAATTTGTTAATGGCTTATTCTCAATAAACACGAATGGGTCTTGTTAGAATAGTTATATAAATAGTACTCTCTCCGGTCCAAAAATAAGTGATTTTTTGGCCTTTTTTTGGGGTCCAAAATAATTTTTTTTCTCCAGATTTCAAGAATGAATTAATTATTTTTTTCCTACATTGCCCTTGGAGTAAATAGTGTTGGAGTATGTGCTAGGAGTATTTATGTGAGATAACAAAGGTTAATATGGTCAATTTCATTGCTAATTAATGCTAAAAGGTGAATTTCTTAATCTGTGTGAAAACAGCTAAAAAATCACTTATTTTGGATCGGAGGGAGTAGTAAATAACCCTAATCCCATATGTATTAGGAGTAGTATATATATATATATATTGTATCATTGTCAATATTAATTAATAATATNTATATATATAGGGCTCACTATATCATAGTTAACATATGTGAATAATATCATATTTTTCTCCTGTGCATTCTCACATGGTATCAGAGCAATCGTGAGATATTTATCGTTGTGCATAAACTCCAGTGACTCCGGGAAGAAAGAACTCAGTCACCGTGCGATTTTTCGATGACCTAAGTGACTATTTGCGTCAAAGTCACTAATTATCAATGTTGTGCGAAATCCAACACCACCACAAGGTTCCCAAGAGAGAGGCGACCAAACCCAAAAAGATTCACCTGAAAAAGACCATCCACGCGCCCCCACGCCCCTGTCGGAGATTTGTCGTCGCCGGCGCGTCTGTCCCACGCGCCGGCACGTGAGGACTATTCCGGCCAGAATTTGGAAAAGTTTCTTTTGGACAGTGTCATCTCCTTGCAATTCCGAGCCTACCCGTCCAATTTAAACCAAATTCCGACCACTTTTATATTTATCCGGCGCATGCGTGCTTCTCCAGCCATTTTTTGGCCAAGCTTCTTGAGGACAACCTATAAATTCAGAGTCCATTGGTACTATTTCCGACAGATTTCGACAACTTTGGAATTTTCCGGCAAGCTACAATTATTTTTCCGGCATGAACAGTGATTCCCAAAAAATTTCTGCTTTTTCCGGCACAATATTATAATGGCATTCGTATCAGAAGCCTTTAACTCACAATCCATTTGGATCCAATGCATTGAATCCAATCCAGATGGTTTCTTTACCGGATTATATTGAGTTCCTTCAGCACAAAGCATGTAAACAGACATCTTCAGGAATAAATTCCGTTGTTCAAACATATAGTAGCGCGAGTTGTGTCTCCCAATCTTCAACCTCTTAAGTCTTCGGTCATTGATTCAGGTGCATCTGATCATATTTCTGGTAACAAATCTCTTTTCAATAGTATTTCATATTCTCAATCTCTTCTAGTAGTCACAATGGCCAATGGGTCTCAAACCATGGAAACTACAATAGGTCAAGCAAGTCCACTTCCTTCCTTACCTTTAGATTCAGTCCTTTATGTTCCCAATAGACCTTTTATAGCCTGTTTGGCCAAGCTTCTTTTGGCCAAAAGTGCTTTTTTTTTGGGGCCAAAAGCACTTTTGGCCAAATATTGAGGTGTTTGGCCAAACTTTTGGAAGGAAAAAAGTGCTTTTGAGGAGAAGCAGAAGCAGTTTTGGAGAAGCAGAAAAAAGTAGCTTCTCTCCAAAAACACTTTTTCGAGAAGCACTTTTGAGAAAAAATACGCTTAGAAGCAGTTTTTTAAAGCTTGGCCAAACACTAATTGCTGCTCAGAAGTGCTTTTCAAACTAATTAGCCAAACACAAACTGCTTCTCACCAAAAGTACTTTTGAAAAAAAGCACTTCTCAAAATAAGCTGATTTTTGCAGCTTGGCCAAACGGGCTATTAATCTCATAGCCGTTAGTCGCTTAGCCAAATCACTTAAATGCGCTGTTTTATTTCTTGATGACCTTGTTCTTATACAGGAACGCAGTACGAGGGGATCATTGGTATCGGACGTGAATCAGATGGATTTTATTACCTTATCCTTGCAAAATCACATGGACTCGCATCTTGTCTTCCTTCGATAACTTGTCTTGTTACCGATTCACCAGATTTATTACATTAACGGCTGGGACATCCCGGTTTGTCAAAACTTCAAAAAATGGTACCTGGTTTATCTCACTTGTCCACTCTAGAGTGTGAGTCATGCCAGCTCGGTAAGCATATCCGCTCCCATTTCCCTCGACGTCTTGATAATAGAGCAGAGTCACCTTTTACTTTAGTCCATTCAGATGTTTGGGGTCCTAGTCGGGTCAGTTCTACCTTGCGATTCCGCTACTTTGTCGGTTTCATTGATGATTATACCAGGTGCACTTGGATAGTTTTGATGAAAAATCGGTCTGAGTTGTTTTCTATTTTCCAGACCTTCCACGCTGAAATTCAAAATCAATTTGGGGTTTCTATTTGCACATTTCGTAGTGATAATGCCCTAGAGTATTTGTCTTCCCCATTTCAACAGTTTATGAACTCTCATGGGATCATTCATCAAACATCTTGTCCGTACACATCTCAACAAAATGGGAAAGCTGAAAGAAAGAATAAACATCTTATTGAAACTGCTCGTACCTTACTCATACTCCGTTGCGTTTTTTGGGGGATGCAGTTCTTACATCTTGCTATCTTATTAATCTTATGCCATCTTCAGCTATCCAGAATCAAGTTCCATTCTTTGTCCTGTTTCCCCACTTACCTTTGTTCTCTCTTCCACCCCGTGTCTTTGGAAGCACGTGTTTTGTTCATAACCTTACTCCGGGAAAAGATAAGTTAGCTCCCCATGCTCTTAAGTGTGTATTTCTGGGTTACTTGAGAAAACAAAAGAGGTATCGATGCTATTCTCCTGACCTCCAGCGGTATCTTATGTCTGCTGATGTTACCTTCTTTGAAACCCAATCATACTTCACAGATCCAGGTAATCACTTAGATATTTCTGAGGTGCTATCAGTTTTATCTTTTGAAGATTCAGTCACTACCTCCCATTCATCTTCCTCTACAACTCCAGCTCCACCACCTACTGCTCCAGTTGCAGCTCCACCACCTAGTCCAGTTCAATCTTCTGCAGCTCCACCACTCTTGACTTATCATCGTCGTCCACGTCCAGCATCAGGCCCATGTGATTCACGTCCTGCATTAGATTCTGCACCTACTGCGGACTTGTCTCCTCTTAGTCAACATATTGCACTCCGCAAAGGTGTACGATCCACTCTTAATCATAATGCCCATTATGTCGATCTAAGTTATCACCGTTTGTCATCACCTTATTATGTTGTTATATCATCTTTGTCCACTATTTCTATCCCAAAGTCTACAGGCGAGGCACTATCTCATCCAGGATGGCGACAGGCTATGAATGAGGAGATGTCTGCTTTACATGCGAGTGACACTTGGGAGCTTGTTCCTCTTCCTTCAGGTAAGTCTACTGTTGGTTGTCGTTGGGTTTATGCAGTCAAAGTCGGCCTGAATTGTCACGACCCAAACCGATGGGCCGCGACGGGCACCCGATACCTTGCTCAACCGAGTACCAACATAACGTATCTTTTTGTATTATACTATCTGTGAAAGAAGAAGAGAAGAAAAATGGT